GCTGCTCGGAGCAATTCAAAGCAAAGTTTAGTTGGCCTCCAGCGTCAGCTTCTCACACAGCTATTCCGGAACACGTCCCACGGTCTGTCACAACAGACCCACCTTGTGAGGCGGAAATCCGTAAGGAGCTTCAAGCCTTGGGGCGTCACAAAGCGCCAGGCTCCGATGGCCTTCCTCCAGCTCTATTTAAAGATGGTGGAATAAAGCTTGTTAGAGAACTACAGATTCTGTTCTCCAAAGTTTGGANAGGTCCCCTCCTGGTGGGGGGAGTCGATTGTGGTCCCCATGTTCAAAAAGAGCCCGCGCCAATCATAGGAGTATAGGCCTAATCCCAATAGCATCAAAGCTGTTGACGTCCGTCATTCACCGCCGCTTGTACACTACGCGTGAGGAGCAGACCGGATTTCACCTGTTCGTGGATGCATCAATCACATCTTCACCCTCCGATAACTTCTATAGTACCGTCATGCCTACCAAATGCCGACGATCATCATATTCTTAGACGTCCGCATGGCCTTTGACTCGGCCGATAGGACCGCATTATGGAACTGTTTGTTGAGGAATGGAGTACCTGAGAAATATGTGTTGATCCCTAAAGAATTGCATCGTCATATCTCAAGTTTGTTTAGAGCCTATGGCCAGTTTTCGCCACCCATCGCCGTCTCGAGTGGAGTCCGACAAGGCTGCCCNCATTGTGCGGTCTAGCAAACGGTGGAGTCGAACTCCTCCCAGGGAACAGATTTCTTGACTTAGAATATGCCGATGACATCACCTTACTGGGTGACAAAACACAAGCAGTCTAAGACGCCTAGAACGGCTTGGCGATCGAGTCATCCAGATATGGTATGTGCTTGCACCTTCCAAGTGTAAAATGCTTGTTCAAGACTGGAATGAGCCTGTGCCTGCACTCACCCTCTGTGGTGATCAGCTAGAAATGGTTGAGAGATTTAAACACCTCGGGAGCTTGATCGCAGCTGGTGGTGGTATTGGGGAAGAGATCACATCACGAATAGTGAAAGCTAGAGCAGCTTTCACCAGCCTACGACACCTGTGGCGCCGCTGTGACATCCGACTGTCCCTTAATAGGTCGTACATCAACGCGGTCTGTAGTGTTCTGCTTTACGGTCGCGAGACCTGGACTCTCCGAGCGAAGGATGCTAATTGACTTTCTGTATTCGACCACTGATGTCTCCGAAGCATCGCCCGTGTCTTTTGGGAACATCGGAAAAGCAATGACGAGGTCCGTCGTCGTGCGTTGGGTGTGAATAGTCGTTCCCTAACAGAATTAATCGCTCTTCACCGTCTCCGATGGCTTGGTCACGTATTGCGTATGCCTGTCTATCGATTACCTTTCCGTGCCGCGCTGGTCAGACCATGATATGGAGTAGAGGTATGCATAAGTTGACTTCACCTTTGGCTTCGTTTGGTGCAGCCCACCTTCCAGGTTGGGGCCCAAGGGATGAGGATTGCCGATGCCTTGAGACGCTGAGAGATATGGTCCAGAATAGAAGTCAGTCACGCGAATGCTGTACGGTCTGTCCGTCGAAATTCCGTGCCCCGTAAAAAACAACAAAAAACAAAAGTACGGTGAAACACACATAATTGTTTTTTCATTTATTCGTAATCTTCCATTCTAACGGTTACTTTTTGCTCCCTATATTCTGTTTCCCCAGGCAGTTTTCTCGAAGAATCACGGAACACAAATCGGCTTGGAAGCACAAAAACCGTTTTGAGTGCAATCACGGCGCACCTCGTAGATACCGGATATCAGATAACTGAAGATAGGTTCAAAATTATCTACAATGTATCCCTAAACCCTCCGATAGCGCCATCTTGCGACAGCAATAAAGTTATTGCGACCAACTCTATGCTCACAAAAATAATTTGTAAACCAGGGCAGATCAGTTTGTCTTAAGAAAAAAGGACAAACAGAAGGAAGTCCAGCTGGTTTTAAGGGAGTTACTAGATAAGGGGATATCCTTTCAGTTTTTTACGAAAAATCCGTAAAAAGCTAAGAAAGCCCACGGAGTCAAAAGCAAAAAGGACAGATTGGGTTGCGACAAGTGTTATCCCATATCGCCACAATACATCGGAAGATATTCAACGTATTCTAAACAGATATAACATACGAGTGGCATTTCGGGCAACCAACACACTTCGCTCAAAGCTGATGCGACTCAAAGACAAGCGACCTAAAGAGGAGCAGTCCAATCTCATCTACAAAATAAGATGTAAACAATGTCCAGCCACATACGTTGGACCAACGAGCCGACAATTGAAGCAACGTTTAGTTGAACATGATAGGAAAACTAAGAAAGCACCAAAAAATATCGCAGAACTTAGGACACTTGAAAGAGACTCAGCAATCGCGCTACATTCTATCGCCGAAGG